TTAGCGTCAATAATCTATATCAGAAGAAACTAAAGTAATATATGAAAGATTGCCAGGCAGAGACTGTGAAAGTCAGGGTTTTTGGTTTTTGCATCCTGGAAAACTGACTTTCAATTTTAAAACAGATAATTTAACAACCATTTTTAATTAGCTATATTTGTTTGGAAAATCCATAATATATCTACTGTTGTATGTTACCCTGTTTCTGACTTTGTTTCTGCTATTTGTTATTGCTTTTGTCCTTGCTCTTCAAAATAAAAGAAAATTAAATTAAAAAATAAAAAGGACAGGAATTTGTTATCAGGATGCCATCATATAAGCCATGTAGTATGTAATATTGTTCTCCTGAGCCCTTCCTAGGGAAAGTACTACAAAACATGCTTCATGCCAGCAAGTAAATCGCAGAATTCACTCAGATGCTGATGGAAGAACTGGGGAGAGCCATTCTTATGTACAAGCTAGGTTACAGGAGGACTGAAATAGAGTAAAATATGTCAGAGCTCTTTTCTGTATGATACAGGGGCAGTACAGGGTACAAATGTGGAAAATGGAAGGATATATGTAAAAACTTTTGAAATAATCATTAACTGTCTTGGTCGTGTTCGCTATTGTTATTCTGAGATTGTTGTCCATAAAGTGTGAAATAAAACTAGTAGTGATGAGAGTCTGATTCTACGATGCCTGGCATCCTTGGTAATCAAGAATTGTAAGGCAGGAGGAACAAAAGGAGAGGGATGTCACATAGAAGAGTTTAGGTAAAATATTTGTGTGGAATTTAAAGTGAGACTATTAGAATCAGTTTGACGAGTCAAAGTTCCAGAGACAGTGACCATCAGCTCAGTAGCAAAGAGTGTTGCTGGAATCTGGATTGTGTTTTTGAAAAATCACTTCCCAGTAAAGAAATCAGAGCTGATCGGAGGAGGCCAGTAATCTGCATAGGAAGCGGATCTGACCTCAGAGCATCTTCCCCTGCCTGCCCTCAGGGAACCTCGGCACCCACCCCACGGTAGGTAAGGTCCTGTCAAAGGCACCAGGGAGCTACCTCTAAGAGCTCTCAGTGAGCACCGAGATCACACAACCTACGGTAAAAATAGCAGATGCAATAACTGAATCCATCAACTCTGTCTAAACCTCAGTTCAAAATGATGTTTTAAAAATAGTAACTGGTCATCAAGAGAATGCCTGAAAATCAATTAGCTACACAAAACAAGGTAAAGGTCATGAAGCAAGCACTTACCTTGTTTTGTCCATATGAATCCTACCTCTAGGCAGCCAGATGACACAAGAGCTAAAGTGCCTCACGTGGAAAGCATTCCAGCTAGTAAATAAGAAGGAAATGACAACTTTGCCAACTTAATGAATTCATAGATCTTTGGAATGAACATCAATGCTGTTTATATCACAAAGACAAACCCAGGCAGCAGGTGACTGCTGGCGAAGGAGCAGGATCACACGCGTGTCCACAGGAATGGGTCAGCCAAGTGTGCCTGAGGACCTCTCCGGATCCAGCTCCCGTTTGCAGGAAAGGTGGTGGACAGAGGAAGACCCAAAGTCACCCCAGTGTATGCACTCAGCAAAATCCAGATTCCTGGAAGCCACAGGTGCAATGTCCCAGGTTCTTTGACTTAGGACATTGCCTGGAAATCACTGGCAGCCACACCCGCTGCCTCTTCCCGGTCCAGATTACTCAAGCACAAATAACTGAGCCAATTGAGTTGGGCTTCTTGGCTCTTGGATCCTGTGTTCAAGTCAAAATTCTGGAAACTTCTTTTAAATTGAAAGTTTAACATTTTAAAGATAGAAATTTGTATTACTTTAACATTTAAATTAATTTATTTGTTTTTTATAACTAATTCAATTAAGGAATTGTCACCTGTGGAGTGAATATTTTGAATTTACGATATTATTTTCCAATTAACCTGTTTTGTTATTCAGTGCAAAACCTATGTAATTATGCGTCCTTTGCTTGGCTTTTAAATCCCCACATCTCTGATGCATTTAGCTACAGAATGAATTACTACTGATTTCTTCAAATTTCTTATCATGAGACAAAAGTTGTGTTCTTTGCTTTACTTCTGGTTATTGCCTGTATCCTATAGGACCAGGAGAGGGCGCTGCAGAGCAGTGTAGCCCAAGAGTTCTTCATAACTAGTTGAGACGGTTCTTTGCTAAAAAAAAAAAAAAAGCACAGCTTTACTATAGATGTAAGAACTGAAGAGAAGGGATAACTAGATAACCACTGTAGACCTTTACTTACTGAGAAAAAGAACAACTGAGATATATGTCTATATACTGCATCTAGTATAACAAATGCATACATACCAAATATGTACTTTAAAAATACCTATTTTATATTTAGAAAATATGTATACCTTATATTTGATACACATTACTTTTATATGCATGCATATAGGTATATATCCTTTCTTCTTTCAAGAACCTCCTAAAACTGAATCTAATTTTTTTCTATTCCATGTTTTCTTCCTCCACCTCTGCTATTAGTTACAGGATCAGCTTCCAAGTGCTCCCATGTAGGGCTTACTGCTACAGTTTGCTTTTATCATTTTAAGCTCAGAACAAAGGAGACTTTGTAGCCTTTTAGCAACTTTTTGCAGTGCCAGAATCACTTGAGGAAACACTGCCCTGGATACTGTCCCGAAGGCTTTTCCTAACACGGGAATGTGTCTTGTGTCTGCCGCTCCACTGTAGAGAAAGCAGGGAGGTGGTTGAACTCAGGCTGCTGCCTCCAGCGGGGGAAGGTGGCTAAGGCCCTCACCGCCCTCCAGGGTGAGCTAAGAGCGGGCTCTGGAGTCCCTGTAACCTGGCTCTGTCTCCCAACCGCGTGTGTCCGGAGATGTCACCAAAGAGAATCCTCTGCCAAGCCAGGGGGTCTTTTAGCCCCAGAATCTGTGAGTAACATCCTTAGGAGATGTGCTACCAGCTCAGGAGATTAAATCAGGGCCCCGAATCCCCTCTCTAGGGGAGGGGAAAAGATGTGTCAGCGCTTCCTGTCCCATCATTGCAGATTGCCTCTCACATGCTACCAGGAAAACATAACTTTATCCACTGTTGTGTCCCTGTCTCTACATTAATCTAGCCTCTGAAGAGATTTCATGAATAATGAAATGCAGTTTTTCATTATGAAAAATAAATAAGTAAAAGAAATATTCCGGCTTTTCTGATGAAGGGGAAATTGCCAGTGTGCTCAGTGATTCTCCCCTTCCTTATAGGTCTCCTGGGAAATAGGAAAATTGCGCTGCAAATTATGATGTTCCTCTAGATTGTCACTTTGTGATTTGCTTTTTCCAGCTATAGCCCTGGAAATACATTGGTCAATGCCAAAGCATTTATTTATAGCTTGATTTGTAGATTGCGGCTCTGTGCCTTGGTATCTCAACCTTCCTAATCCTTCTCGATAAGCCCGTCAAGTGGTGTGTTTATGCTGGACACACCTGCTTATATTGTCTCCTGCTTCTTTTCCTTCCTTTAACTTTTTTTTTTTGTTTGTTTTTTTGCGGAACAAGGGATTAAAGTCAGGCCCTTGTGCTTGCCAGGGAAGCGCTTATTTTACTGAGCCCTCTCCCAGCCCCTCATTCCTTTAACTTTGGTTAGAGCATGTTATGCCTCATGGTGCTGCCTCTCATGCATGGCTTTCACACCGAGCTACCACTGCACTCATTGACAGTTTACCCCAGATCACTTGACTGGGCATATATTTCCAGCTTCACTCACAGAGTCTCCTTTGTCCTTCAAGGCCCACGCAACATCCACTGCTTCAGCAAACTCACTGTGTCTATCCCAAAGGCCTGCATCTCCCTGGCCCATGTAACAGCTCCTCTCAGTCCTCTTTGCTGTCCTTACTACCCAGCACTTGAGCATCTACTGTATTGTCCTTGTCACTGACGACATCATGTGTGTAACCTCACTAAGCTGTTTGACTCCAGACTCTAAGGCCTCTGATTCCTGGCTCTTTAGCTGCATTGATCACTATTAGTATGCCATGTGTCAGTAAACCTAATAGGATCCATTGAAGACAGTGAGCAGGTGTTCTGCCGTTCTTAGCACTAGTCAGAATCCTGGAGTTGTGATGTCCAGCTGTTGTTCTTAGAAAACTACCCCTGATAGTGCCTTTCCTTGTTTTCTTTCCTTCCCTTTTTCTGGCTGTCCTTGTCCCCTTTTTTTAATGTATCTAGTACAGGGTCTACACAGTCTCACTACACAGGTCTGGCTCTAGTGATCCTCCTGTTTTCAGCCTCCCAAGTGCTAGGATTACAGGTATGTGCCACCATGACCAGTCTCAGTCGCCGTCTCAGTGTGCCTTGGGGGCAGGGCCTACACAGCACTCAGGGGATCAAACCCTGGTTCCTGCATGTGCTTAAGCAGGCACTTTAATCTGCTGAGCTATCTGGCTGGCCCTCGTACCTTGCATACCTGCCATTAACCCACCTTCTGTGGCTCGCAAGCAAAGCAGGGCTGAGTCTGAGGAGTATGTACCCGGTCTATACTGGGCTTCAAGGATTTCCTTTAATCCTTTTCTCTAGAATAGTTCCTCTGCAGTCAACCAGTAGGTCTCCTCGAATGTCCATTTTCTGATTCCACACCTGTGGATAAATCAACCCCTAACCTTATATTCAGATTAGCACTGGATCCCAGGCTAAAAACCACCAGCACGAGTTACTAAACAGTCATGAATAAGGAGTCCAATGTGAAGTTCTTAGGAAACTGAAAAGGCTGTTTAGATGACGGCCAGTATCAAAACCGGTGACACATGGTGACTCTTCATCCAGGAGCAGTGACATGCAGCTCTCAGGTTCACTTGCATTTTGCTCAAACAAAAGTAAAACCCAAAAGGAATATTGAGCAACAGAATCAATGATATGGTGGTGCACTGGTGACAAACACTCTGGCTTACTGCTTTAGTAGTGCTATCTACTTAGTGATGTCTTGGTGTGTTATTCTTTGACGTTCCGCAACTAAAGTCAGTTCTCTCATGCTTTCAGCTTCGCAAGTCTGTGTTCAGCATCAGAGCGAGGAATCTTCTGGAAAAGGAGACAGCAGTCACTAAAATCTTGAGGTAATAACAATCATTAATGACATATATTTACACATAAGTAGGATTATATTAAACAGAAAAGGAGCTGTTTTAATGAATTAATTTTCTGGGTATAAATATTTTATTCTAGAAAGTAGCCTTGAGTACCTATCTACTTATAATGATGTGAAAGACATTACTAGCATCCTTGTTGAAAAGCAACATACTGCCACAATAGGCCATTTCTCTTCTTTCAGATATTTACACATAAATTATAGACATAAATGATTATAAAAAGATGAAGATACCTTACTGTTACATTTATACTTTATATCTTTTGTCATATTCAAAGCTAAAGACATAATTGTAAATATAATGGTAAGAATGCAAATAGTTTTATTTTATTCTTTATATTAATTTACTGAGAAAAATCGCAATGAAACAGTTTCAAAACAGGTTAGTAGGACAGTTACAATAATTAATACATTGCATATTGTTGTCTTAATAGTAATCATTCATAATACAAGATGCAGACCTGATTTCTTGTCTAAACAGTATTATTTCAAAACTTTCTCCTCATTGAACTAAGAAAAAGTAGCTGTATATCTATACTAACTATTTTGTATATACAGATATATATTTTTTTCACTACAGAATGGTCCTTCATTTATATCCCCCTTTTTTGTTTACTTTTGTCAGACATGGATGGGTATTCCATTGCCATTCAAATATTGTAGGTGCATGAATTCAGCAAAATAATCCAATATAGACCAGCAGTCCATAATAGTAGTGGGTTATCCACAGGACTGGCAATGTCAGAAGTTGTTTTCTTGAGCCTTTTACAGCTCAGCATATTAATAGGGCTTTACTTTTTATACTTCATTTTTATACATTTCTACTAGATGGTTAAGACCAAGATAAAGCAAGACCTGTATAACAAAGAATGTAGCAAGTAATAATTTAAAAGTTGATTATGTTAAAGTGATCAGGATTTATCAATCTATTAATACATTTATGAAAAATCATTAGAACTAAAAGCATGCCTGTCTTGGAATGTTTATTAAAACATAATTGTTATGTTTCTTTCTAAAATATACCTTGAAATGAAGTGTTAATAAGGAAAATTAAGCTACCCATTTACGAATGTCAGGCTGCATGCTATTAAAATGGTCCATATGAGCACACAGAGCTATCAGCTACAGAGTAATGTGATCAGTGTGAAATGCGTGAGTGTTTGGAATTCCATCTACTGCTGCATGTGTTAAGTTGACATATGTGGCAGAAAAGCTAGTGGAAGAGCAGGGGGAGGGCCCAGCAAAGCAAACTGGCCCTTCATGTGAGGAAACGCCCTCCAAGCTTGTGTTAAGCAGGAGTTTGACTGTCTGCTGCTGAATTCCTTACAGGCATGGTCATGAAAGCATTTGCCTAGACAGCATATTACTGTAATATGGAAAACTGTAATGAGAAAATTAAGCCAAGTGTATATGATATGGAAAACTACTTTCGCAGTGTAACACATACACCATAGTGTGAGAAATGGTGTGGCAAGGAATAGTTTTAATCATCAACTTTAACATATAGAAGATCAGTGGATTTTTGGTAATAAAACTTTATGGTGTACCTGAGGAAAAAAAGTGCAAGACTTTTAGGAAACATGGACTCCTTCATGCTTCCAAACAATTGAGTAGTTTTGGGGCTGTCATATTTACTGCAGTCCAGCAAACTACAAAATGAGAGGCGCTCCCTAGCATGATCTTTGCTGGTACCTAAATTAAAGGGTAAGTTGGGCCAGAGCGATAGCTCAGCAGCAGAACACTTGCCTGGCAAGTGCAAGGCCCTACATTCAAGCCCGAGCATAAGAAAACACTATGGTTTGGAGAGCAAAGACTCCACTCTAACACAGAACCCTGGCCTGGCCCAGGCTCAGCTCCCGTGTGATGCAGACAGTGAACTTATCTTGCAGTTTTCTCATCTGCCTCTATGCTGAATACTTTCCTGCAAGTTTGTCCAAAAAACCTGTTGATGGGTCAAAGTTAATTTTAGTATTTCCTTCAGGGAGGGAGATGGCCAGTTCAACATTCTCCATGATCTGCCAAGACAGGAAGGGCAATGGAAATTCATTAGGACTTAATGTTTGCTGTAACTGTGGTCAAGTTGAAGATCTGGTTGATACTGGCAAGACTGTTGCCATAAGAGTGTGGACACACCAGGAAACAGGTGCCCACCCTCAATGAGCAACAGCTACCACTTTGGGATAGGGGGTACCCCTATATCTCTCTGCTACTTTCTGTCCCCTTGAGTCCAACATTTCAGCCATCAGTGAGTAAGAGGGGCTTTGACCTTCCATTTTCTACTTTCCTTCCTTCTTGATTTGATTGATTTCTGAAAAGTTTGTGCTTTTCAAACTTTTAACCATGTGTCACCTTTAAAAAATAAATATAACTCAAAACCAGCCAAATACCTCAGCAGATTAAAGCACCTGCTTAGGCAGACTCAGCAGCCAGGGTTTGGTACCCAGCCTGCCATGTTGGACTTGCCCACAGGGCATGCTGAGACCATGATTGAGACTGTGCAGGGTGTCACACATCTGTAATCCCAGCTCTTAGGAGGCTGAAAACAGGAGAATCACTACTGAGTCCAGTCTATGTAGTGAGACCCTGTGGACCCTGTCCCAAATACATTGTAAAAAAAAAAAAAGGTGTTTGGGGTATTATCAACCCAGTAGGCAGTCTTGGCAGGAATTTTGAAGAATACCAATGCTTTTTAGGAGGCTGGCTGGATAAGTTGAATGAACTATTGTCTAGAAGAAGGGCCTAGCCTAATGGTCTAAAGTTCAGGTAAGTGTTGGATGGAGAGCATGAACTAACATCACCATGACTTATCTTGCTTCGCAGTCCTGATAATTCAGCTGTGGGGCTGCTGGTGCTCTCAGTTGTCAGAGGACTCACCCCTATGAATATCTGTCTTCCACTTGAAATAGAACCCATATTATTCCAGCAAAAAGCATCAATACATATCACCATGGTCAGCAAATTCTAGTTCATGGAGGAAAAAATCTCAGTGAGAAAGAGCACTGTACCTGAGGCTGTTACTCTGGTAGAGTCACGCATTTCTGTACACACACACACACACACACACACACACACACACACACACAGAGTTATCTTTAATTTGTGCCCTTATACTTACTAGATTTTTTTTTAAAGAAAACTAATTGCTGTTTTGAGATATGGGCGTGAATTTCTGGATCTGGCTGAGAATACTTGGATGAGAAAAATGTGGTCTATTTGTATGGAACTTGAGCATGCTGGCCCAGGCTGCAAGGCTGGGGTTTCCCCTGGACAGAGGAGCCTCTGTGTTGTTTCTTCTAAGATTTATCTGGAAAGCACTTTGAGAGACAGGATGTCCCACTACCTAAATTATAAAATCTACGGCGGCTATTAAATTCACTGCTGTTCTGACTTACATCCACTGTGCAGTTCTACTGAAGAAAAATTCCTTTCAAAAGCCAGTGACCTTTTCTCTGCCTCCAACAACATCAGAAACAAATAGCAACGTAACTTCCAAAGCACCACCACCGCTGCTGAGAGCTCCTCTTGTCAGAATCCCTGAAATGGAACAAAATGCATTCTCATTCCTGCCAGGCTATGTGAATACAGAAAGGTCAACAATAAAATAATTAAGCATGGTGCATTATTTTAGAACCATCCTTCTGTGGGTTGCCACAGAACATCACTAGCTAGAACAGCACCCTCAGGACCTTGTTGGATACTCAGTCCCCGTGGTATTTGCATTCTGATAGTTTGATGCATGCCATATCTTTCTCTGTCCTACACTTACTATAATAGTTTTTAAAAGTGTAGTGTATAATTTTAGTGGAGTTCTACCACTAAGCATATTTAATGAAATGTGTAGAGTTATTTTGTCTCTTGCTTATCACTTTAAGAGAATCTTTTTTTTTTTTTTTTTTTTTTTTTCTTTTTTTTTTTTTTTTGCGGAACCACGGATTGAACTCAGGCCCTTGCACTTGCCAGGGAAGCACTTATTCTACTGAGCCATCTCCCCCGGCCCCCAAGAGAATCATTTTCATTGAACACAAATAAAAATTGTTTTTCCTGAAAGAAGTGCTTCAAAACATCCAACCATCCATCCATCCATCCATCCATCCATCCATCCATTCATTCAAGAAAGACTTCTGTATCATGCTCTACGTCCCAGGCATTTTATCCTTTTTGCTTTTTCCATTTGGTACATTCAGTTCTCCTTTTAAAATTCTTTTCCCACTGGTGAGCCCAGCCATCCAGCAACTCTGGATGAGATCCTGTTCTTTCTCTGTAGCTCTACCCTCCTGCCAACTGAGGCAGATATCCTCAACTCCCAACTTTAGAGTCCTGAGAAGACCTAAGTGCTCCAGAAATACATCTCCAGCTGTGGGAGAAGGAAAGGGCTTGCAAGGACCCCCATGCTTACAAGGGAAGAGGACAGAGGCTGTTGAAGCCCAGATCTGGGTCACTTGCCTGAGAGAGCAGCAGCATTAGGTGGCCCACATTTGCCCAAAACCCCCAAAGTTTCCAGAAAACTGAGCATTAGGAATTAATATCACAAATATTTATCTTTGTGGTTCTGTTAAAGGTGCTTAGTCATTGTCTGATTTCTCTGACACTTGCACATTACTTGAAAAGATGACTTGGAGATAAAGACAACAAAAAGTATTTAGAGGCCAACAAGACCTGGGTCTATGCATTTTTATAAAACACAAAATAGTAAAATTTCAAGGGACCAGTCAAATAGCTCAGCGGATTAAAGCTCCTGCAAGCAGGAACAGGGACTGGGGGTTCAATCCTCAGGCCTGCCATGCTGGCCCCGCCCCTGGGGTGCACTGAGACAGCAATTGAGACTAGGCTTAGTGGTGCATGCTCTTGGGAAGCTGTAAACAGGTGAATCACTACTAATCTGATCCAGTAGTGAGACCCTGAACACCCTACAGACCCTTTCCTAAAATACAAAAAAAAAAAAAAAAAGATTTCAAAATACAGCTATAC